GCGCAAGCCAATGAGACGGACATCAACCAAAGTAACACAGGGGACTCAGTGGTATATCAGCCAGCAGTATAGGACACGAAGGGGAGCAAGCGGATAAACGCATGGGCGAGAACCATTCAATCTGTCGCCCAGGGACCAGAGTGAATAGACAAAGCCACTGGCTTTATCGCCATTCTAATTCACGGGCAAGTGCGTGTACACACATCCACACACAAGGGGACAGTACATCTTGCGCACTGTGGCCCTTTGAGGGACACCCAGATGACTGGTCGCACTCTCTCTCTCACCTACTTCAGTCTACAAAAGAATGCTTGAGAAAGGTAAGAGCGTTGACTACAAAAACATCAGTAACATCGGCAACTGTCGTTTGGCCCAAAAATGTGACGCCGCCCACACATGACCTGCTCTCATCCCACAAAGACGGCTCGTCTCGGTATCAATCGTACGTGGGTCATGCAGCTCGACAGCTGAGTGTAGTAGTCAACACACACACAAAGCCGACCGGGGCACGGAACAAAGAGGCGAAAAAGCACGCCTGGTTTCGTCGACCAACAAGGACGGGATACCTCCGCCTAGCAAGACTGATGCGCATCGGCGCGTGCCAAACTAGGGCCCTCGAGTGCAAAATTTATTATTGCATTTCCTATTTGCGTGCATTCAGGATTTGCCCAGAAAAGCAGACGAATCATTCATGAAGAGTGGATAAACTACTGATAGCGGTAAGCATCGAATAAGACAGGCGACGAATGGTTCGGTATACTTATAATGCGTTGGGTAGCAAACCGTTCTTTACGGGATGTATTCAGTGAGATTCCAGGAGTAACAATATCAAGTTTGAGCTGGAACGCAAAACACTGGTAACAAGTTCCTCAAGTCAAATATGCAGGGAAGAAGAGGCGACTAAATTGCACCAACCTGGTGGATATCGTCATTTACATATACACATTGGAGAAGATACAAACTCCAGTAAACAGAGGGCCAATCAAGGACAGGCTTATATTACCAGTCTGGATCCGACAGTCATTACAATCCAATAAAAATGGAATTTTTTTGTCTAGAGTGAATTTGTCCCCGTAAATCGGACGACATCTCCTGTACGGTCGAAACGAATCACATATCGATACTATTCTCCGTTAAAAAAAAACAAGTTTCAAATAGCATCCTCGTATGTCAGTCAGTACGATCAGCTTCATTCTCTTCGCAAATTGTTCTCCGTCTGGGTATCATGCATACTCATGACTATCTCAAAGAGTTCATGTTGTGTTCTGTTTGAATTCCGTCCCTTGACTGGCCTGCCTCGTCTGTCACTTACAATTCGTTTGCCATTACCGACTATATTAGAATTGCGCATACCACAAATGGGCCACTCACGCAAGAATCACATGATTCGAACGGTACTGGGTCAACCGGTAACTACAACCAATTGGATACAAGCATCAACTCACAACAGATATCTTTGGGGTCAAATTTTGGCTTTCCAATAGTTAGAACTCAATGAGTGAATAAGTACTAGCGAACGAAACAAATCCAGGGGCGTGATTACGCACAATCCCAATGTCTAAAATTCACTGCTAATGAGAAACAGAAGTCACTGAGTTTTTAAAAAAATGTAAACTTAGGGCAAGTTTTATCTTCTTTCCAAGTAGAAATTAGAGCAGACGTACGATGTCAACATTTTTATACAAGAAGCTGGAAAAGTTAATACATTAACGGTTGTTTGAACAAGTCTTTCCACCGATTGGAACTCGTACATTGGTCCAAAGATACATGCTTGTCTAGTTCCGTGATGAGAAAGTTTCACGGAGGCGAGTGATGTCACAATCTCCTCGGTACACGGAACCATCCACATCCATTCCAAAAAGTCGGCACTTTGTGGTGAGGGTCAAAGGCAAAGATGTAACACATTTTTATCCCCATCCATAGGGGGATAGGGATGGAATGTACTCAAGTGCAGATGCATCTGGAGAACGGAGAAATAGTGCCACTAGTAAGTATACCTGGAGGTATGGAAAAACAGAAATGTGTGCCACACAACTCATACCTGATAAAACAATGCTTTGAAAGAAGCAGTCACCATAGCCAAGCGTTAGCATCTTTCATTTTCTTATTTTGAATCACTCAGGTCGAACATAATCATTCAGTCCAGTCTGTATACCCCGTTGTGATGAAAAGTTAAAAGGGTGAACTTTGTGCTGACCAGAATGCACTACTATTCGGTTATGGGAATATACGACCAATCTAGGAACCGAGATTTGGAGTGACAAGCTATGCAAAGCCTCAATATGCACTGAATCGGACCACCAAGCTTGGATGGTAGTAGCGAGGGTTTGGGACTTGGACCACAGGGTCCGGAGTACGCCAACGAAAGTGACTCCCACCGCTCGGTCAACACTAACTGGTGGCAGTGGCATAGTTTTCATGAAATGTGGTCGCGCGATCAGGAACAGTTGTGAACACGAGACAGGTTATATTGGAACGTGTATAATCTTGTCACCGCGTTTTTGTTTTCTTGCTCAGAATAGCAGAAGCATATAAACAGCGATAAACGGTTGAACAATTTCCAAGTAACAGAATACGGTCATTCAAAAGGATTAATGAAAAGTAGTCAAAATGCCGAAAACCAGATTGCTGAGGCGGACACATGTCTTTTCTGAAAAGCTTAGATCGTACACTTTTCCGTAATATCGACTAGTGAGTAAGTTGCAAAAAAGCGCAAAAGTGCAGAGATCGAGATGCGCTGGAGATATAAAGGGCTCCCACCGAGGAGGAACACTGCAGCATGCGAACTTACTCGCATCAGGTGATTTGTCAGATAAAGATACAAAACAGGAAAGGGATTTCGGTAAATCATCCAGACGGGACAGAATTCCGCGTGAATCCGAAGACGTTATTGATTCAGTGGATGAGTTCCAGTGCTCAATGCCCTGATTGGTGGTACCGATGGACGAAGAACCGGGCATGTCTGATTGGTCCCAATGACGAGATGAATTAGCATGGTATTCCGGTTGTAATGTCGGAGGTGAGTGAGTTGAGTGCTTCGGTAGTTGTCGCTCGGAATGGGTGATAATTGTTGTTTCATTGGTTACGGTTTGCTCGTGCCCGGTAACTTCAAGTGAACAGGAAACCTTTTGGGATCTAAATGCAAAACAGTGTGTATGAGAGAAAAACGATTGAAAAATTGGGTGTGAATGAAGTCAAAACCTGACTAGCTCTCTTGATTTCAAGTATCCGGTTTCGATCACTCGTTCAGCAGTGAAGCTCACATCAAAGTCAAGAACGTGTAAGCAATCCAATCATGGTCAACAATCCTTGAATTCCTAAACTACGCGTTGCAACAAATTTGAGTTATGTAGAACTAACGTACTTGATTTCGAGCTGAGCAGCCACACGACGTAGATGCTTAAGAACTTTGTGGTACGACAGTACGATATATTTCGAATTGTATTTATATTTCTCTGTCACGATCTATCAGTTACGTAAAAAGACACTTTGGTAAACGTTTGTGTAACCTTTGGCAAAGATCACTAGGTAACCACTTGAGTTTTGTTGATGCTCGTCAATAATGTTCGTTAATGGGGACTCGGAACACATATAGGTTGGGAGAATCACCAAATATCCAAGGATCAACGCCTACAGAACATCGATACACAGATTTTGATGTTTCATCATCCACGTGGATGGAACAAGAATATGACTAAGTTAGTTAATGAAGTTATATGCTACTGATCATATACGATTAGGGATCAGGATTCTAACGCTAAGGTTCGCCACTCCGGTTGCAACAATGACACATTAGGTGTGCACTGGTGACGGGTGCCAAGAAGCACGAAATATACGTTCAATGCACTTTATCGGTCACTATAAGCAAGAATTATTCGCGAATAAATGCATCCGGTGGAGAATTACGCTCATAAAACAGCATCGACACACAGATCCTGATGGTTTTGAAATTTTTTTAAATTAAAAAAACTTGCTTGGTTTTGGAAACCAACATTATCTGAGAAGCCCGTGGAATGACTTTCATGTTCCAATTTTTTTTCATTACACACCACTGTATGATGGACAGCAGACGGGGCGGACCCCATAGTCACGAGGACTTGCTGCTCAGTGGTGGAAACCGGCAACCTAAGCCCCGGAACTTGGAGTGACGAACCACATAAGGCCCCGCTAGGATAGACGTCGTACGGAATAGGATGACAGCAAAGCTGCCTAAAAAGTTGGGTGGCGGGGTTCGAACCTCGGACTATAGGGTCCAAAGCACACAGGGGACAGCGACTAAACCACTGTGTAACGGAACAGGCAAAGAACGAATAAGCCCGGATCTGAACAGCGGATGTATAGAATGAAACGAGCTTTTAATGAAACTCGCGTCCGGAGCCCTCCCCTCCCCCAACAGTGCAGTAGACCGAGCGCACTGAGAATTGTGCGTGAAGATTGAATCTGAAGGACGATAAATCGCAATAAATGACAGATATTCCTCACAAACAATTGCGAGTTGAAATGAAAAACGAGAGAATCATTGTTGTTCGGTCACGACTGTCAGTTTCATACCTAAACGGATTAATCGGAAAAGGTCTCTCAATGATCATCAAGTATCTTTAACATGTTCACACACACTCCCTACTGCATAACAAAAATTTTAACAATGTCACACGTACTGTTGAACCCGTAACAATTCTGACAATTGTTCCCCGCTCAACACAACCAACTGGCCTTGTGAGTTCTTCCCGATGAAGCCGACAGTCCCAGGAGCAATCACATTCGCCGCGGTAACGCATTTCATTTGACCTGTCGACAAGTGGATGTTGTCTGCAGCTCCCGACTCAGTACTGGATAATGATGGATCCGAAACGGGTGAGATAGGTGCCGTATGAGACAGCGATCCACTGGTCTTCGGATTCAGTTCCCCAAGGTTGTTTGAACCGCAAGATACAGTAGTACCACTATTGGCAAATGAAGTCGCAATCGCAGCCAGCTGTTCCAAACCGGATGGACCGGAGTGTCTGGTAGGAACAGTCTTGCATTCAGGGGTCTTGGTAATCGGGGGGTGGGTGTGTCCGTTAACTAAATTAGGAAGTGGTGAAGGTAAATTCAGTTTTGTAATAGCACAGCCAATGGTAAACCTGAATAACACGAGAATTTGGAAACGTCATTGTGTTATGCTACGAATACAGAAAACCTATCAATCCTTGGCCTTGATTGAAACACCATTTGATGCAGAACATTGATCACTTCGGAACAAACACTAACGTTGCTCTCGCGTACACCGAAGTCGGTTGCTATCTCGCGATTTTGGAAAATCCATGAGGGAGTAAACAGTTGTGAGTATGTACCGAGATAAAAATACGGCATGCGCATCCAGTTGCTTCGCATCAACTCAGTTCAGATTACACGTATGGGGTGCAATATGACCGAACGGAAAAGGAAAACTCTATCATCTTGCAACGCAACAGTGCTGCTGAAAAATGCTGGAGTGTTTTGAGGAAGAACATGCGTTGCCAATTCCATCAGCGATCAATAAATGTTTACTGGAAAAACCAAGCAAACTCGTGAATTCAAAATAATCTCACTATGGCTACATCCATTCATGGACCACAAACCCTTTTGAAATTAAGCGAGATCATTTGGGTTTCAAATCTAAACAGAGCGGAATGGTAACCAGACGGAGTAACCTTGACTAAACGTCCATTAAAATGTCTACAACTTTCAAAAATCAACCTGTTGAAAGTACAGCCCGAGAAGCGGCAAAAGGATTGCAACAAAAATCAGAACTAAGAAGTATTTATACAAAATGCTCTACCGAATTGGCTCGTAATAAACACGCATCTACCCAAAGTTTTGCTTTCAACTTTCCGTTCCGCATCAACAAAGTATTATGAATCGGATGAAGGTGTAAAGGCCGGGAGAGCATTTTGAGTGACCCTATTTGTGTGCGTACGAGGCCCGATGTTTACGGCAGTGTAATATCATTCCCCGCACGAGGATAGGACTGTTTCAAGAACTAAATCTATGGCAACGTTAAATAGAAACGGAGAGAGAGAAACCCTATCGAACACCGCCTTTTGTAGTGAACTCGGGTGAAAAAGTGTCGTAAGCTGGAAATCAGCCTCGGTTGGTAGTATAAAGGGATTGTAATATTGAAATAAACTTCTTGTGCACATTCATTAGAGCAAGGCGGCGCAAGAGTTTAGAGCGGTCGGCCAAGTCGAAAGTCGTTTTCAGATCGAGTAAGGTAGAAATGGTGGGTGTATTAAAGGAATGTCTGTGTTCTAGAATTTGACGAATAGTGAAGATGTGGTCGATACAACCTCGACCAGGTCTAAAACCAGCCTGGTTCTCATAAGTGTTTACGTGTTTACCGTTGACGTGCCAACGATTAGATGCGGTAAGAAATAAACAAATTGGCGACCCGAAAGCAGAGTCGTGGACGAGCGTGAATTGAGGGGATAAGGAGGAAGTTTGATGATAGCACAATGTGCGTTGCGTATCAGTTGCGTCAACCAGTGCACCATTTAGATAGCAAAACAAATTTAGTATTTGTCTTGCAGAAATCAGCAAAAACGGTTCCCAAAAAATAAGAAACAATTTTCGAAGGCTGGAGAAAATAATCATGACCAATATGACATCCGTAACTGTTTACTCAGTATAATGTTTTTTTAATATACACCTTTTTATGTGATAAACGGCAGACGGAGTGAACCCTACAACCACGTGGACCGGCTGTTCACCCATATATATATATATATATAAAACGGGCCTGAGAACAAGCATGGTTTACTCATGGAAACCGGTAACCTAAACCCCGGGACTTGGAGTGGTTAGCGGCTCGATTAGCATTGGTGTGGTATTGAGCCCGAAGACAGTGAGACCGCCTATAACCAAAGTTCGGTGACGGTGACAGAGCTTTAATCTCGAACCTTAGGGTCCAAAGCACGTCACTGACAGCAACTAAGACCATCCGTTTTGACACTGGTGTCCATTCCAAGTTAGATCAGTCAAAAGGGTGTCAAATGTCGACAAAAACTAATAACATTTACAAATTAAGCGAATACGTCATTAGAACCATAGCAAAGAGCTCATCTATGAACTATAAATTGCAGTAAAAGATATACCGTGCTCGGCAAGGCAATGAACGAATGTAGCGTAGGGACAGAGAACTTAGGTCGAAGTTCGAATAACAGGGAAGAGAAATTGTAAACGTTCGTCAAGATTTTGAATAGTAACCGGTTCAGTGAATCCGACTACCGGTTGCGTAGCTTACACCGGTACTTACCACATCTTTCCCCACCACGCTTTAGCTAAAGCCCGCATCTACCTTTTTCTGGTATCATTTTTGGATCTCTGTGAATACAAAACAATGTACCGCTTGTGTTACATTTGATATTTGTAATCACAGGAGTATCGCATGTTATACGGAAATGTTGAAGCTGTACGAGATATGTCAAATGGCTTGACGATAAGAGCACATTGTTTAAACCCTCTCCAATCAACATGTGGTGCAGCGTGCCACCACCGCACCCCATTTCGTAAACTTTGCAACATCAACATTTGTAGAAAGTAAAATGTTTCAACATTAGTTGACCTCAGAATATTCCGACACTTTTGATCTGACTCGTCTACAGCGGTATGACTAAAGTTTGTGCGTCGAGGCTAAACGACTACGGGTCATGGCTAAAATATTGCGGGTTTTGGCTAAAGCTTGATGGGAAAAGGTGTAGACAATGAGTTGTGAGCGGCGATTTTGGGCATTAGATTCCAGCCCGAACTGGCCGAACCGATGAAACACTCATTTGAGTTCAGTTCAGTTCTGTGATTTGCGTCACTCGTGTCACTCCAACGAAAATACAATTCAACGAATTTAACCGATCTACTCAATGGAACTAATTGGCTCGTCACCCATTCTAATTACCTTTGTCAGCGATCACTTTAGAGGTGCGTGTCCCGCATCCATCCATGACGGGATGAGATGAAAGTACACTGATCTGGCACAAAACAACCTACCCACAAATAAGTCTCGTGTGACCCCGTCAGGAAACAGACGAGGCACACTTTTGAGCCATCAATAAGAAGGAATGAGAGCATTAAACAACCAGCACTGAGGGGTCGTCGTTCCCGCATACGCATCCACAGTGTGCATCCGTGTACGGACCAAGTGAAACGTGAAAGGAACATGACACGCGTGAACAACTCGTCCAGACCTGTTTTGTGTATGTGTGTGTACAGCTTAGAAGAATCAAGAGGAAAAAATTGGCATTGAACAACGAACCAAATCAGCGGATGAAACAGTACCAGTCCGAGTAAGGACGTATTCTGAAGTCTTGCTAAAGTCATATTAAATCGGTAGAACCCTTTTTTAGCACTTTCGTTTAGTGAGGACAAAGTAACAGGGGAACACCGATACAACAGTGTTTATAACAAATATTACAATCATTGATGATGTGTAACATCTTGATGGGCATTGCCTGCATGTGAATGAGGCAAGTGGTGGCTAACACAGTCAGGTGAGGTTGTGCTTGTTATCGCAGTCGGGCATTATATATATATATATATGTAACGTTAATAAAATAAAGTATTGCGCAGTGAAATCCACTCAAATATCTTTTGAGCCTTGAGTGACCCAAGTAAGGAAAATATGACGCACTAGTGAATGAAATGAGTGTTTACCAAAATGTTTTGCGTATGCCTGCCCATCGACTACCTCGCCGTGCTCTCTTTGCACGTGCTGGGGAAGCTTGGAAGAAGCTTTGCGGCGGTCAGATCATGACATGGCGTAGAAGTATGAAAGAGTTAGCCTCAGCATTGGCTTCGGTTGGTGCGGCTCACTTTCGGGGCTGGGTCCCAAGGGATGAAGATTGCCGATGACAAAAGACGCTGAGAGATATGGCTCAGAATAGATTTCAGTGGCGCGATTGCTGTGGTTTGTTTAGTGAAACCCCGTTCCCAATAACACAAAGTGTACAATGNCAATGAAACTATCGAAAACAATAATTCATTCATTCATCCGTTCTCCGTGTTCTCTGTTTTCCCCATTTTCATTTAATCTTTCTGTACCCCTCTGTAACTTCATCATCATCGTTTTGCATTGACACCACGCTTGTTCTCAAACGGGTGTAAAAAATATAATATGATATAATATATTACCAAGATGTTTTAAAGGCTTTGTGGGATATTTCGCTGTTATTCAAATTCAGATCCAAGATACAAATGATTAATTCGATAGAGGTTTTTGAACGTTATGTTTATCCACCTTAAACCCGGTGCGGTCTATCCCCGGTACTGTCAACCCAATTTTTCGTGTAGAACACCTCGACTACTGCTGGACCCAATGCAACACCGATTGTTAGGTTCTCGTGGAGGGACAGTATTGACAACTGTGCCTAATCAGTACCCCCTTATCATTTTGAGCTTTACACCTTCTGCGTAATCCAGCGGTCACGGAAACGATAGACAAACCTAAAAATCGCCAAGTCCCTCAAACTTGATCAATAGGTACGAATACAATGGGTAGAAAGGTGACCTTTGACCTTTGCAGAGCAAATCACGTGAGCGATTAAGAGGAATTCGAGCCAGTTTATCTCCTAATCATCCGAACGGACTACAAGAAAAACCAGTGCACACGAACGCCACTCAAATAAAACGGGAATTTCAAATAATATATATTTCAGTTGGAGTTTGATAGGTAATTGGAAATATAATTCCACTCTCTACATCCACAGTCTTAATCTTTTGTTGGAGGTTTGTTCTCGAAACGGAGTAATCGAGGCCTTAGAGTGGGGGTTGTGAACGAAATAGAGATTCCGCGAAATGGACGTAGTATTTAGAGGGGCGAAAGTGAAATAATCTGCTGCAAACTGGTGCTGAAGGTCATGCATGAATTGCAAAGATGGCACAAAAGAAAAAAAGAACACCTAATGAGTAGAAGTATGGGGACCATGAGAAACAGCATTTAAAAGAGATTAACACTCACCATAAGTCACTGAATCGGTGTGGTTAGTTCCACACCAGGAGTCCAGACAATCGGTCTTTAGGACTGGGCCATTGGTACACTGGAAATAGAACGAAAATAACATCAAGATATATGCTGCACTGAATTGTATCGCACAGAGTTGGATTGAATGCACCTAAAGAGTGATGGAATGATAATCCAAAGACTCAATTTATTTACTTATTGAATACGTTATTGTGCAGTATTTTTTAGTAAGAGGGCTGCGGCTAATCAATGGCTGAAATTGGGAGATACAGAAAATAGAGCAGGTGGACGGGGCAGGCCGGGTTTGGACACAGTCTTCGGGTCGCTATCACGAGGGCCTTGCCTATTTGAGCGCTAATTGTTCGCGAAATACCGAAGTTAAAATGACGTCATACAATCTATGACGGGGTGTGTGGCGAAAGATTACTTCCTAGAATAGGTCCGTGAACACAAAATGGAGATGAATAAGAATTACAGATAATGTTCCTGACGGACAGTGATACACCTGAACTGTTCGATAATTTCCACGAAAGCCGCAGTTCTCCTGAGTGTGAGCAACAATTCACAAGAAGTTCTCTCACAGAGTGGACTCCTTTGATTCCACTTAAAGCCTTCTAGTAGAGAAGGCTTATTCATTCAAGTGAGAGGATGGAAGGCAGTTAGTGGTTCCACTGTCCTATCAGGTGGATTGAGCACCCTGGATGTTTAGATCAAAAGGTGCAAGGTTCAACTGACTGGGCACCGATACTCAATGAACTGCGGTGTTCGTACTGGTTTGAGTCAGACCTCAGCACGTGGAAAGCCCCAGATGTGCATCTCCAATGAAAGTAATTTCCCTTTTATGACGATGTGTGACTTCATGCTGTTGTGAAATGTAAACAATGAACAGTTTCCATTAAAATAAGTCATAAACAACAACTTGTAACAAATAAATGGGAAGTGTGCAAAAGACGACATTCCAAAGAAAGCTGATATCTATGGAACCTTAGTGATCTAAAGGATTCGAATACCATAGTTCCTGTGCAGCGAAATCGAGGAATTGTTCTGATTTCCCGGATAAGTGATCAATCCGACGACAGTTATTTAGACGGCATAAAAAGAAACAGCGCAAAAGTAAACATGAAAGTCAACTTGTTTGACCGACTGTTGAGTTTTTTGGGTACGATGATGAATTCGTTGTCCTCTGAATCGATACACCATGAAATAGTAGTCAATGGCATGAGCGAGGATGAAGACCGGCTGCCATAAGGATGGTCGAAAAATAGTGACCTTGAACTGGATGGAGCTAGTCGCAAAGCGTTATTGAAATGTGACGTAATACGGAACCAACACCCCTCCTAAAGACAGTCACCAATGGCCACCAACTTAGATACGGCAAGACTATCGCTTAGATCTCGTACTTATTCGCCGGAGTGACTCGTGCGGCTTCATTCAAATAGAGGTTACCCGAGAAATAAGCTATCTCACAACGATTTTTAAGGATGGAGGCTCAGCCTTGGGTTTGGAGTTAACAAAACTCCTGGGCTCAGTGCGGGAAAAGGAACAAGTTCCAAGTGAATGGTGTAAATCGGTAATCATATCGACTTACAAGAAGGGCGACAGGTTTTCTTGTGAAAACCACAGGAATTAGTTTAATCAACACTGCCTATAAAATTCTCGCCGGGATCACACTCTGTCGATTGTCTGCCGCTCGTGAAGAGTGCATACGTGAGAATCAGGCTGGTTTCAGAACTGGTCGGGGCTGTATTGACCACATTTTTACTATTCGTCA